CATTGACCTAATGACAAGCCCTTGGTTTCATTATTAGTTTTGTAATGTGTAACAAAATCTTAACAATAGGCAAGTATGCACTCAGTCGTTATATTTTCATAATACTTTTTCATACAATAATTGTTTTTATTTTCATTTCAAGAAACAGAATCTAGATTTAAGTCATTGTTTTCTGCTGTGGTATGGTCTGTATGTCAAATGTGTTGCTGATTGGTCAATAAATAAATCACTGATTGGCCCGTGGCCAGGCAGGACAAGGAGGAGAATAGAGTTGGGAAGTGGAAGGCTGAGTCAGAGAGACACTGCCAGCCGCCATGATGACAAGCCGCATGTGAAGATGCCGGTAAGCCACGAGCCATGTGGCAAGGTATAGATTAATGGAAATGGATTAATTTAAGCTGTAAGAACAGTTAGCAAGAAGCCTGCCGTGGCCATACAGTTTGTAACCAATATAAGTCTCTGTGTTTACTTGGTTGGGTCTGAGTGGCTGTGGGACTGGCAGGTGACAGAGATTTGTCCTGACTGTGGGCCAGTCAAGAAAACTCAAGCTACAGTTTTCTGCTAAAACTAATAAAGTTCACTGTTTTCCTATAACCTTCCTTTAATTATATTTAGACAGAGAACTCATGCAAATTTACCTTATATTCCAAAGTGAAGTCATTAAAAGAAGGATTGTCTACTAACTTTTAATGAAAAAAATGAAATAATTTAGAAATGTATATGGGCAACACCAGAAGTGTGTTAAATGAACATTTTCTCTTTCCATCTCTATAGAAGTTGCAGCAAATTTCCTTAATTTAGCTGGATGCCTTGTGGCATATGCTATTGGTTCCTCACCCAGAATGTGTCTCTCATTCCTTCTATGGGAATAGTTTGCTAATTCTACTAAGTCTGGCAGGTACCGAGAGGAAAAGTGAGCATGCTGTTCTGGGGGCAGCATCCCACTTGGTATGACTCTCACTCTCTTGGGGGCAGGATCCCACTTGGTGTGACTCTCACTCTCCTGGGGGTACCATCCCACTTGGTGTGACTCTCACTCTCCTGGGGGCAGCATCCCACTTGGTGTGACTCTCACTCTCCTGGGGGCACCATCCCACTTGGTGTGACTTTCACTATCCTGGGGGCAGCATCCTACTTGGTGTGACTCACTCTCTTGGGGGCAGCATCATACTTGGTGTGACTCTCACTCTCCTGGGGGTACCATCACACTTGGTGTGACTCTCACTCTCCTGGGGGCACCATCACACTTGGTGTGACTCTCACTTTGTCTAACCCTGACCTGGTACTAGTTACTGGTTTAGTACAGGCAGAGGAATGACATCTGAATAATGAAACATGAAGTTTGTTGACAAGAAATTTTGAATATGTCCCACAAATTATAAAATGAAGGCAACAAGATAGTCTATGAGAATTCAATTTGTTGTCTTTGGCAAACTAAATCACAGCACATTTTATCAGTTAATAAAGAATACTTTTAAAATATAAATGCAAGCCACGTTCATGGCTAAATAGGATGTATATATAAGTATATCCTATTGAGAATATATGTTCTTATGTGTGTGTATGTGTGTATGTCAAGCAGATGTTGAATTTGCCTCCTCAACTCTATTTTTCTTTTCCTATGTACTTTTACAACCATTTTTCTTCCAAGTCTTCCTGTTCCCTCTTTCAGAACATGAGTATCCTACAGTTGACCCTGCTGGGTTCCCGTTCATAAAATACATTGAATTCAAATCTCCAGCATGATTCCACTGGCAAATTTGGAGATGTACAAATGAATGTTTGACTCCATCTTACATAGTCACACCTGAGTTTTTTGTATGCCAGTATTTAAAACAGGAGTGTAGTGGGTAGCCATTCCAGCTTTGGTCTGGAAGTTTTAACCTCCATTGAGGCTTCAGTAACTATCACGCCTACAAGGCGGGGCCAAGAGAGGGCCCTGAAGACCTGAGATCGGGATGCACTGCACTCTCTTGTTTCCTGGACCTGGACTCTAGAGGTAGACCAAGGGGAGTTCTTCAGAGAACACCACAGAACTGCACTGAGTCTTCCCCAGAACCCGCCACCTACCTATCCCTTCATTTGTAAGTTACCCACTAAATAAATCTTCCTTTTAACTACGTGGAGTGGCCTTAATAATTTCACCAATACTGGAGTCACTGGTAGCCATCTTGACTCATGCAGGAGCCTTTACACTAAGAGAATACTAAGGAAAGCAAGGATACTGATAGATGGAACACTGAGGAGACAACCATCCCAAAGGTGTAATTGGGTGAGGCAGTAAGCTCTCCTAAACTGTATCCCTGTCATATAAACAATGAATTCTGCTCATTGCATTCAACACCGTATTTCAAATGGAATTCTATATTCATTATTCAATATCTAAATTATATAGACCCTATAGAATTTTTTCAGTGAAATACTCTATTGATATATAATTATTTAATTTCATAGGATTTAGATAATGATACTACCTAACAATAAATAGTCAGTAGGACTAGTTCTCAGTGCACATTATTTATTTATTTCAGCTGATCAAGTGATTTTCAGAAGTGTTTAAGATATCTTAGTTTCAAACAGGACTCATAGGGGCTCACAGAGACTGAAGGGACAATCATGGAGTTTTGTACGGGTCTGAGCTAGGCCCTCTGCATATGTCTTATGGTTGTGGAGCTTGATGCTCCAGTGAGGCTCATCGCAGTGGGAGCACAGCTTGTCTCTGACTCTTGCCTGCTTTTGGAACCCTTTTCCTCCTACTGAGTTGCCTCATCAGGCCTTGATATGAGGTTTTGTGCCTGATCTTATTGTAACTTATCACCCTGTATTAGGCTGATATCCCTGGGGGCCTCCCCATTTATGAAAAGAAATGGAGGGGTGGATCGGGGGAGAGGGGAGAAGGGGAAACTGGGAGGAATGGAGAAAGGGGAAGCTGTATTCAGGATGTAATATAAAAAGAATAAATTTACACACACACGCACACATATACTATATCTATATCTATATCTATATCTATATATATATCTTAGTTTCTTTTAAATTCAGTCTGTTAGTCCAAACAATTTTACTTAGTACTTTGATTATATTCATTTTTAATACTCTGATAATTTGATTCTGTGGTTATAGTTCAAGCTTTGTTCTGTTTTTTTATTTTCCTTCTAGTATGATTTTGTGATTAGTACTTTTTAACAGTCAGTTTGTAATTGTTGGAATGTTATATCCTGACTTAAATTTATGTATTAGCTGGAGGAAAATTTTAATTTTTTTTTAGGTACCTGAACTCTGATCTGAGACCAGCTTAAAATTTATTCTTATCTGGAATTTATCCAGTACATTGTTAGCATAAGCTTCCATCCAGTCCTGTGTAAAGATGAGACAGTTAAAATTCTCAAAAGTAGTCAGTCCTGAACGTATACATACAAGTAACTTCAAATGGACTCAACAGGGTATAGTTAGGAATATGTGTATATACACACATACATACATGTATACAAACACACACGAACACATTCAATAACAATTAATGAAAAAAGAAGCCATAAATTTGAAATACAATTGAGAAGATTTTATGGGAAGTGTTGGAGGAAAGAAAGGGAAGGGATAAATGTTGTAATTATATTAGAATCTCAAAAATAAACCAAAAGAAAAAAGAAAAAATTTCTCAGGAATATTTTTTTTTTTTTTTTTTTGCCTACCTCACCAAAGCTAAGTGTAAGACTCCAAATCTTCCTTTGAATATTTTTTCTTCATTAGTGTTTTGCCCTCATTTTCCTGAAAACATTTTAAATTTTATTTTGGAGTCAGTTACTTTATCCAGTTGTGTTGTCTGACTGGGCTGACCCAACAGTCCACAAGCAATTGCAATTGCCCTGACCGAGTAAGCTGCACCCGCTCGCCTGCTTCCGTGTTCACATTTCCTCAACCTGTTTAGCATCTCAGAGATTCTGCATATTTTGCTATCTCTTTTGTGCACTGGAGGAGATATTTTTGTACATTTAATCTACAAATTGTAGAAGTTCTGTACATCTTAAAAGTATATATATATATATATACACATCTATATGTATATATATATGTGTGTATATATATATGTATATGTATATATATAAACCTACCACATTACAAGGAAGAGAATTGCTTTAAGGCATAGCCATTAATTGTATGGAGTAATTGTGACAACCTCAACATTCCTGACTCTGAGATTATTTCCTGAGATTCACATTTTCTTTGTAACAAGGATTAATTCAGGATCTTATTTTCCTGTTGTATTTTACCTACTATTAATTTAGTTACCTTATTACCGTTATCTACCTTATTACCGTTTATCTACCTTCACTTTTATGAAAAATATATTATGAATGAGTCAATGAAACAAAGAAAATTGGCTAAAATATTTATTTTATCATTTTCATAGTTTGCAGTCCATTTTTTACTTGCTTTTGGTTACTTTTGTTTTCTTCAGAAAACAATCAGTATAGATAATGCTCATTAGCTAAAATATGCTCATTGCTCATCACCTCTTAGTGCACCTACATTTGAGTTACCAGAGGTTGGGTATTATGTACATTTTAGAAAAAAAAACATAAAAGCTGAAAAACTTGCAATGGAAATTCTCTAAACTCAATTTATCAAGTAATTGTCTAAATATATTAGGTATCTTGAAATTGATAGAAATTATGCTGTCCTAAACATGTTTAATTCTGATTTTTGAAGTCTTTTATTTCAATTACAAAAATATATAGCAAGTAATCTCTTATTTACAATTTAGACAGGTGTCAAAACATTTGATTTATATTTCATATAGCAGCACATGGATACAATTAATCTGTTTATACTTAATAGTCTTGAGGAAATTTGCCTACTTAAAATGTGTGGTGTTTCCCCCAAAATTAAAGCAATTATGAAGAAAAACAGATCATAGTCACAAAGGAAGAGCTTATTTTAATTTTTAAAAAATTGACAGATTATTTTTCATATATGATATTGAAGTTGATGCTACCTACCTCTGCGTCTGCAAATGTCTCTTCATAAAATGCCAGCATCACTGCAAACTGCAGGACAGTGTACATCTTTAACAGCTGGGATGCTGCTGATGACCAGGGGACCTCCTGTCCTGTGACCTAGGTAGACAAGAAGGACACTTGCCTTTACTCCCCCACGGCGCCTTTCTCTGGCTGAAATTCACACTGCAGGAAAAGACTAGTCACAGAAAAAGGAGTTTGATATCTTTGCTCCAGAAGGACTCTGACATTCATTTCCTTGGCTAGAAAATTATCTGAAGAGTAGGAGACCAGCTTCTTGAGGCAGAATATTATGCATTCTAGTTCTGATTCGGTCTTCCTTAAATAAAAACATCATAGCTGCTTTGTATATATTCATAATTGCAATAGCCAAGAAGAAAAAATTAGAACCATTCACATCTAAAAATATGTTCAGGAACATACCAAGAAAATGAAGGCATGTGAATCTGGACAGCATAGGTAACCATGATTCAACATCAAATAGTATTTTATTAAAACAACTTTCCTAAACTACTAAGATTTCTAGAAGTACGGTGCTATACTTTTCTTTAGATAAAGTAGATGTAGGCACTCATATAATTTAAAAATATTTACTTTGACTGTTCTGTTAAAAAAAGAAAGAAAAGTAAAACCCTCCTTCCTAGGCATTTGAAAGAAGAAATAATCGATGTATTTTTCACATTTATCAAGCTGACTAATTACATCTAATTATGGATGTAAAATATATGTGAGTAAGTCAAGTATTTAGAAACAATAAAATATTATTCAGATAAAATATTCTTTAAGACATCACATGTTTTTTTAATCTGAAATACCATCTTGTAAATGACAATTGACTCTTCCAAATGCTTCTGTACTTGTATTTGTGCCCTTTATTTGATAAAGAAACAGCATATATCATGAACTATTGAATAGAAATCATATTTTTCACCTAGAAGAGAATTTCAGATTTAAATTAAATTTTTCTTGGTGTCATAAGCCAGATGCTAGTGGAACATGCCTTTAATCCAGCACTTGGGAGGCAGAGACAGGCAGATCTCTGAGTTATAGGCCAGCCTGGTCTATAGGGTGAGTTCCAGAACAATAAAGGCTACACAGAGAAACCCTGTCTCAAAAAACAAAAGCAAAAAATAATTTCTTAGCTTTTTGTATTACATTTCTGTATTTCTTTTTCTCATGTTTTTCAAGTTATTTCTATACTTAATATTTCTATTCTAATATCAAATAAATTCAACCATGGTTTGTCAAAGCAATTTCACTGCCATGATGTGACTTTATAATTTTTACTTAGGGGACTTCATTTAGTCATAAGTAAAATTAAGAATAAACCTGATTTCTAAAGCTCTTTCCATCTCTCAGGTTCTGGGACTGTGCATGGGAGGACATACACCTTTGTTACTCACCAGAGGAGGCTCTTGCCTGTGGGCTTGAAAGGTTCTGAAGTAGTTTCAATTGTTCTACTTCCCAAATTACACTCCCTGTAATGAATCAGTGCCCACCTAGAAGGTAATGCCCTTCTTAATCCACCTCCAGGGTGGTATATCCTCATTAAGCTATCCATTTACATCGGCTGTGGTAGCATCGTTTTATAGTATCACACGAAGACAGCACATATGAAGACTGGCTGCATATGGAGCCCCACCACATCCTCTGCCATGACCTCTACTTACCTCTGGAATTTCTTCACTTAGGCCAAGTCTTGGTTTACCTGGACCCCATCCTGGTCCTTTAAATAGGACAGAAAACTTATGGAAGAATCCAGGTGTAGCCCAAAATGTATTCCATATATAGAGTAAATGGTGAAACTTGGAAAAATAAAAAAAAATACATGTATAGTTTACTCTATGTAAGAGAAGCATAACAGATAGCATTAAGTATAGCTCATTATATACATCATTATATTGTTCATTGTAATTTTCATATTTTCCTTAATATATACCATGCATGAGAAGATAGATAATATATTGATATGTAACCACATTCTGTTTTTTAATTAATTCTATATATCTTATATACCTTTGGTGTGTTAGGAAAATCTTTGAAGCTAAATGAAATTATAATTTTATTTTAAAATAAAGAGAACATAATTGATTACAAAACCATCAAAGTAGAGTAAATGAGTTATGAGGCTGCATCAAATAACATTCACTAGCTTGTGTGAAAGCAATAGCCTGTCTGCTGACTCCTTCCCTCACATCTTACTAGATGGACATTACAGTAGGGACATGGAAGCATCGTAAGATCGCTGATCTATTTAAATATTTTTAAAACAATGCTTTATTGTGTTACTAATATGATATTAACAAAATATATTCACAAATATTTCAGTTTGTAGAGTTCCAAGTATTAAAAATCTCACATTCTGTCACAAAAAAAAGAAAAGCCTTGGTGACTGAAGGAGACTTTTACAATGAGTGTTACAGCGGGAATATGCAGTCTTTAAATAGCATTCATTTGACATGCACAGAAGTTAAAAAACATGCCCACATATAAGTGCCCAATAAATTTTAACTGTAAGGAATTTCACACAAGTGCCCATAATGCACCACAGGATTAAACATATTCATAGGATTTGGGCATCAGCTCCAGACTCTAGATGTAAGGGGTTTATTAAGTATAGAAATGCATTAATGGAAAGAAAAGCTTTTGCTCTCAGAATTTGTGGTCTTGCTGGTATTTTAGCAGTCCCTGGATGAATTTAAATTGCTAGGTTTAGAAGAATGGATTTTATAATTACTTGAAATATTCCAAGAATCAACCTGAGTTATTACAGGGCTTAATGGAGAAGTTTCTGAGGACGAGGTAAATGTTAGATGAATGCTTAGCCTGGGGATTTTCAATACTAGTAATACAGAAATTAGGATGTTTAGAACTTCCAACACACATTAAAATACTAAATCATTTGGTTATGTTGCAAATGGACTTCAATTTTATTTCTACAAATCTGGATAGTACCCATGAGCAATATATCATAACAGCTTAATGACATTTTCCTAGTTTACTGGTTTCCAATCCCCTGGGACTTTGGGTCTTCCAAAAGAGAGCAGAGTGGTCTACATCTAAACAAAGCAAGCATATCCCTGTTTCTAGTAGGGAAAATTCCAAGTTCCTTTGCAGGCAATAAAACAAGCAATTTAGCTATACTCAAAGGGAAGTCACTGAAAATAACAAATTTGTGTGTTATAAACTCCTAATTATCATAACTTGCTGACTTGACATTTCTGACTAAAATGAACACATAGGAGAATAAACCTGAGACCCACACATGACAACTACCATGCTGAAGAAAACATTTTGAAAGGTAGATACCTGGAAGCTTAATACTTGACTCAATGAGCAGTGGCTCAAAGCTGCCTGTCGTTGTCTGACCTAGGCATGTAGTCAGTTCCTACTCATTCATCTAACTGTATTGTAGTGCTTACAACATCCATTCACTAATCATTTCTCATGTATGAACCCTTATCCTCAAAAATCATATATTCCCAAAGCCTTGCTTGTATCCATTAACAATATTGGACATCACCTATAATCTATTCCAAATAGTCCACAGTGCTGCTAAATAAAACCTGGACTTCACAAAGATGGTCACATGGGTCACATTGGCATCAGTCTTGGAAAGCTCTGTCCTAGAGAAACAGGGTAGACTTTTATATTTCTCTTTACTTATTCATATTAAGGAGAAAATCTGCCTAAAGTTAAGAAAGAGGGCCTTTCATGAATATTTTCTAAATTGGTGATAATTTAATAGAGCTGGTTGTAAAGATTTGAACACTTTTATTATGTGTCTCCTGAGAGACACATCCTATTGTGAGTAGAGCCTGGGGTAGAGATGGAAAGTGATGTGCCATGTAGTAGAAGAGAGAGAGAGAAAGAGAGAGAGAGAGAGAGAGAGAGAGAGAGAGAGAGAGAGAGAGAGAGAGAGAGAGAGAGAGGAGAGATACACATCAACAATTTTCTTTTCAACTGTGGACACATAGAAATAATGATGGCACTTGGCCAAAGCTGGTGTGTGAAGCCACAGTCAGGTGAGGAGTTTAGATGAATTAAGCGAGCCTTGCTCTTGGCTTCCTAGGGTAAATTTGCAGCTGTCAATTGAATCTGGAATTACTTAAACTCTCTGAGCCTGTGTTTCCCACGCTAGAAGGCAGAAATCAAAGAGCCACTTCTTCATGAGGTACTACTGATGGTGAGCGAACTGCTTTGTGTTTGCAGGTACTTCACACAGAAGGGATTTAACAGATGTAGAGAATTCTTCTGTCTCAATGTCGTGTGCAAATTTAAGTGGGCTGCAGAGCAGGCCCAACAGGAGCCTGTAATTTGGTTACTTCCGGTACATTGCAACCACCCAGCCTAGCACACAAATCTGTCACTGGCTGACCATCACAGCTTTGAGAGCATTCTTATCTTTCTCTCATTTGTGATTCCTTAACCTCAGGAGCCTTTGTGGTAATTTGATGCTGACACACTGGAACTTTGCAGACATTCTTCTTTTCTCTAGTGCGGACCACTAAGACCAGTGAACAAGCAACAGCACATGTCTAACAGAAAATTGGTCTGCTCTACCAAGTCTTAGCAGGAGAGGTAATATGTGGACCTCACTGATGGATAATGCTCCTTGACATCCAGTTCTGAGACAAGAAGGGTAAAAGCCTCATGGTGAATTTCTAACCAGAGGTTGAAGGCTTGAAGCAAATATTTTTCTTACTGTGGGATCAGCCTTAATTACATGTTGTACCACTGTTCCTGAATACATGAATATATTTCAGGTCTATTCTGAGAAAGAGCATGTTTCTTAAAGAACCCCCTTTTTTTTTGCATTTGAGGTATTAGACACATTTGAAAATTCTTATAATAGGTTTTAATGGATTTTACCCATCTGACTCAAGTGTTACTTAACTGCTAAAGTTATTTCAAATTCTTTTATAGGTAAAACATTTTTCCACAGCAATGTGATGTGCTTCCATCTACAGTAACCATTTTCCTCCTAAACATAAACTTTGTGAAATTCTATGCATTCAGAAAGAACAGGGCTGAATGAATTACCTGAACTTTGAATGGCTCAAATGTATCAATGGGGTGCGTTAGACCGTATACAACCTGTTCATTCTCTGCTTCAAATGTTCCTGGAAGATAAACATTACATTATGATTACTGATTTTCTACCATTTCCAAAGCAGCCTAGTTAGCTCTTTTGATAGTTGTACATTTTACTTACCAAAAATTCTGTCCCAAATAATAAGAGTGCCAGCATAGTTTTTGTCAATACAGTAGCGATTTCGGCCTGTGAGACAAAGTATTGAAAGTAATTTTTCAAATACATGAAAATGAGCTTCTGAAACATTTGTTTCACTTGTTTTAAAAAATACAAGAAAAAGTCAAGCAGTAAAGTAGCTCTAGAGATGTCACCAGGAGCACGTGAGGACAGTTGGGAGTGACGGAAGTGGTCTTGCCCAGAGAAGACCACAACAGTTGATTGTTCAGTGCCAAACAGTCAGCCTTGAAGACATACAGACAAGTAACAGTAAACAGACTGGGCAGCCGTGTTTAAGAATATGCATACACATACACCGCCTATTGCAGAGAACCGTGGAGTTGACCTGGTCTAGCTGTCTTGAGACACAGGTCAGAGGTTTTTCAGGTTACAGTCCATGGCTTCTGGGGCACAATGGGCCTTCCAGTTCCTGAGAGACTGATGCTCTCCCTCAGACAGTGAAGCATCTGTCTGTTCCCTTAGGAGTCAAGGAAGCAAGGAGGCTTGACAGGACAATTGCTCTTAGACATTAATCTGGTCTACCCTGTATGGCTCACAAACTTCACTGTATCCTGGCAACCACAACTGTATTGATCCTGGACATTACCATTGTAGCTGTTTCCGATAAAGGTCTGATTAAAAAGTCTGATTGCTCTCAATGAAATTGTCACAGCCTCAGTTGTGCTGTGGCCCCTCCAACTGGCCTGATTTAATTCCTCATGACCATATTAGGTGACCTTAGCCCAGTAAGTAAGCACAGGCACTTATAATATATCATATATCAAACATATATGCAAACTGTAATAATTAGTGAAAAAGAGACCATGAATCTGAAGGGGAAAAGGGAGGAGTATATGGGCGGGTTTGGAGGGAGGAAAGGGAAGAGTGAAATATAATTATATTATAATCTCAAAAATTAAAAAAAAATTAGACTTTATTTGTAGTCTCATTTTAGTTATTTTCTAGCTAACTTTATAAAAGTAATGAAGGTTTTATTAATTTATGAACATTTTCCCGATGTTTTAGTTAAGTGTCTAGATATAGTCACATTATTTTATAAAACTAACAAATAATTGAAAATCACATTGTTTAGAGGAAAGAAACAAGGGGAAGAGATGGAAATGTATGTATTGGGGGTTTGGGGGACACTAACTGTTCTTACAGAGGACTGAGGTTCAGTCCCCAGCACCCATGGTGGCTCCCAGCTGTCAGCAAGTGCAGTTCCACAGCATCTGGCACCCTCTTCTGTCCTCTGGGAGACTGTTTGCATGTGCTATACAGGTAGAGATGCAGGCAAAATAACCCCACACAAAACTATAATAACAAAAATAAATTTTTAGAAAGGAAATGTATGCATTTACCTTTATTTTTTTAGTGTTATTTTTAGTCTTGTTCTCTCCTGATGTTTCAGAAAGAAAATTAGCACACTATTTCACTAATAAAAGATATAATTAAAAATTAAATTACTCTTGGAATTACAACTCTTCGTAATATGTTAATTATCCAGCTCCCAAACATCCAAATTACAATTTAAACTTAATGTAACTAACTGGCAACAGTTTTTATTTTATGTGTTTTAAAACTTAAATAGGTACAATAATGTAAATGTTACCAAATCTGAAAGAAAGGAATTTTAGTCTACTAAACCATGTATCTATATTTATGTACCCACTTTCTGTGCAGGCCAGCATGGGAACCTAAGTTCACCCATAATCTAAACATGGTTCTCCACTAAAGGAAGTGTTGGCCGTGTCTGAAAACTTGGCAGGTCATCACGTCAGAGGAGGGCACAGACAAAGCAAGCATCCACCAGGAAATCTGCTAAGCATCCTACAGTGCCCGGGACAGCTTTCGACACAAAGTTTTGGTCCCCAAGTACAGGACCTACTGATGCTGACTAGGTCTGACTGAAGGCTGGGGAATTGGAAGGTGAGGTGAAGAAGAAGAAATGACCAGCTGTTTGTTTTTCAGTGTGTTTTCTTCTTTCCAGATTTTTCTGTTTATGTGGAGGAATCCACAAGAATCCTACCCTCCCTTGCTAACTGTTCCCAGGGGAGGAGAGTGCTGAGTTTGGAAAGCTTCACCCCTCTCCTAGGCTGCTGTGGCCCCTGCCTGAGAAAGGGGGAAGTTCCCCTTGAGAGGGCTGTAGTGTTCTAAAACTGCCTGCGAAGGCAGAGACATAGGAAAGCAGGAGACAGCTTTCCTTCCTTCGTCCAGTGTCCTCAGCATTGCGCCCCTTAGATTTTTTCACGCAGTGTATATGGAGGTGGCTTGGACAGTCTCACTGCTGCGTGATGAGTCTACTATGTACTCATGCACTCTGCAGGTCAGACGCATTCCAAGTTTACTTTTATTTTCCCGTCACAAATAATACACGTTCTTAGTGGTTCTCGTGCTGTCCAAATAAAACACATTTTGACTTTCACTGAACTTGGTACCTCTATACCTTAGGCACTAGGCACGTGAAGTCCTCTCGTCGGGCCACTGCGTATGTGCTGAGTTAGACAATGAGCTTGGGCAGACGAAAGTGCTGGTTATTAGGTTTTTTCCAAGTCCCAGTATGTATTCTTTAAGTTTTTAAAAGGAGCTTGTTTTGTTGTGATTTTGTGATTGGTTTCTCCTGTTTTACTTCCTCGAGTACACATATTTTAAAAATAAAAGCTTCTTTCAAATCCCACTATTTTTCAAGACTAACGATTTCAGCGTAGACAGGGCAGATCTGCAGCACTCAGTCAGAGCAAGCTACAGAGGCCTCTTCAAGATGTGAACGTTCCTATCTAGCTGTTTGGCTCACTTCCCAGCAGCAACTAGGTAAGATGGGAAGCAGTTGAGAAAGGCCACTTCCACTGGGCCGTGCTCAAGCTGAGGCTTCCCTCCATAGAAGAGGGAAACAGTACTTATTTATACAATGTCTGCTAATAGTGCAAGGTATGTTTTTACTAAAATAGCACGAAAACGACACTACCAGTTTTAAAGAAATGGTGGAAGGAAAAGCCACAGAACTGCCTTACCGTGGTGAACCCGGTGATGGCTAGGAGTGTTAAGAACCAGTTCCAAGGGGCCGAGGCTTCGGACAACCTGTTCATAGCAAAAGAGAGAGCCACACACAGCGTTATCCCTGAGTATGTATGTGCACTGCACAAACACATGACATTCACACAGGAGACGTAGTACAGAAGGCCTCAGACTCCTTCTACCCCCGGGGCATCCCAGGAAGGCGGCGACCATCAAACTGTTCTGATGTGTGGTGAGGCAGCAACAGGCTCCCCTGACTCAGTTCTCATGCTTTACTGTGTCATCCCGGGAAAACCTGTTACGCTCTTTGTAATTCAGTGCCAGCATCTCTAAAATAAAAATCGTAACAGTGCTATAAAACAATGTAATTCCAGACTTCTAAATGTGACTGTGTCTTGCATTCACTATGGCTAATGGGAAAAACAGCCGCTATCAATCGTGACATTGATGAGAACTGGCATGTCAGTGGCACAGAGGAAGAACAGGATGATGGACTTAAGAGCCTGAACTGCCTATGACACAGCAACAAAACGTAGCATGGGCACATTATTTGGATACTTACCTGAGACAAACAATCATAAACATTATCTTGTAGGTAATGAGAGGATTAGCAGATAAAACCATTTTTACTTAGAGTGATAATGGCATTGGCATTGGGTATGAAAATGCAATTTTCCAATAGCTTAACTGATGAGACCAGGACTTTGCTTGAAAATATTTTGGCAATGAAAATAGAAAAGCAGAATGATTGACAGAAATGAATAAAAATCTCTATGTTTAATAGAAGCAACAATATACATGGCTCTTCCTGCTTTCCTGAATTCTTGATGAAAATTAAGGTAAAAATTTACGGAAAAGAATTTATAATATATCAATATATGACAATGTTTATTAAGCCAGTTGAAAGATTTAACAGATATCCAAACTCAGAAATATGCTTCTATTTATTCATTTATCTATTGTGAATTATGCATATTTGTATATGTCTTAGTATGATTTGTGCATCAAAGTGCCACACCCAAGTAGGTCAGCAGAGGATGTTGGATCCCCTGGAGCTGTAGTGACAGACAGTTTTCAGCCACCAGACGTGGTGATGAGCACCAAATTCAGGTCTCTGCAATAGAGTGCATGTTCTTAATAACTGAGTCATCTTCCCAGACCCAGAAACGTACTTCTTAGTGGAAATTTTTCCTCCACAAGGATGTGTTTTGCTTTATTTTATTAGTCTTTAATGTTAAAAGTACAGGTTTGCAGTTGTTCTGTAGATAAAAGAAGCTGGGCTGGCCCACACTGTTCTGAACTTCTGGTTTCACAGAGCCTCCTGAAGTTGAAGCTGAAAGCTCATTGGCAAATAGCCACCTGCACCCTCCAGAGCACGGGCACCCACATGCTCTCCATGTTGTCCATTATTTACAGGCCTGACAGGGAGTCCTTGCCTGCACCATTGCTGCCGTTTTCCTAGGGGTTCTCAGTTTCAGTCTGAAATGGACAGATGTCTGCATGCAAAAGAATGTGAATTATTACACACCGAGTGCTAATTTACATTTTCCTAGGTTCCTCCATCCTTCCCCTTGTTTCTTCCTCCTTTCCTCTCTTCAGCCCTGCTCTCCTCTCCATAAGGTTATTAGATGACAAAGATGTTTGGAGTTATAACAGTGCTGTTACTGGGTATGAATAAAGTTCCCATGGTGCTGTCCTTGGGTGTGAATGGAGGTACAATGGTGCTGTCCTTGGGTGTGAATGGAGGTACAATGGTGCTGCCCTTGGGTGTGAATGGAGGTACAATGGTGCTGTCCTTGGGTGTGAATGGGAGGTACAATGGTGCTGCCCCTGGGTGTGAATGGAGGTACAATGGTGCTGCCCCTGGGTGTGAAAACCCATTTGATTTTTACAGGTATGGTACTGAGAATTGTATGACACAAACACTAGAGTCAGGCCCCTCCTCTTCCTCTTCTTTTATCTCCTTCCTCCTTCCCTCCTTTTTATGATTCCTTCCTTTTGTCCTTTCTTCTATCTGTCCTTCTTGTCCATCTATCTTTCTGTCTTTTCTTTTTAATATCTGGCCTGGGGGAGTGCAGTGTCCTATCCACCTATTTTCTGGTTATTTCTAGAAGAATTGTATTTTAATCTCTGAACCCAAGTCCTTTTCCTCATCAGAACAGAGGAATCCATTTCTACATTAAAGGCTGTGTTTCTTTTTTAAATAATTTCAGCATTTTCATATACTTTGACTCTATGTCTTGTATTTGTTAGAATACAGTCCTGTGAAATAAAGCATAAGACTATTGTCTCACAAATATAGTGTTACTCACTGGGGACTGAGAAGGAGCAGTGTGTTATATTGCTTAAAGGCTATCACTACAGCCTGGTCTACTGGTGGAAAACTGTGTACAGGAGGGTGGTGATGGTCGGAGGATGGGAAAGTGGGCTCCTCAGTATTCAGAACATTACAAACTGATGCTTTGGTCTCTGCAGAGAACCAGATGGGAAAGGAGAAGCCATTTCACCCCTGTTTGTCTCTCTGGTGCCCAACATTTGCTACAAAAACAAACAAGGAGGGGGTGTAGGGGACTACACTAGGCAGCTTCTGCTGGCCAGATGCTTTTCTGAGCTCGACTCCTGGCATGTGTGCAACCAGAGCCAAAGCCACACGAGTGAGTGCCTTCAGATGACTGGAGTCTGGGCACGCTTTTTTTTTTAATGTCAAGTTCTTTTCCTTAGCAAAACCTTTTGCTCCTTTAGGCTAAAGCATAGTGATATCACTATTGAAAGCTCCTTTTAATTTTTTTTAGGTAAAAGCCAAGTACAGCACAGTCCACCACAGCTAAATTCTCTGGTACTGTGCCTATGAGTACCGTGGAGCTGAGGGAGACCACCACAGGGCCAAAGATTCATCATTCAGACAACCCGGTCAGAAGCTCCCATGTAACAAACTCTCTGATTCAAAGTCATGGAGAATTCATTAATATTTAATAAGAGCTGAGCGTAATGATTTAATTATCACCCACTTTTGCAAATTCAGCCATTTAGCAATGCTACCACATCTAGCTGGGATTCACTTCCTGAAAACATGTTAGTTACTCTGGGAAAATTGGACCTATTCTAAATTTTAGAAGATGTGGTCTTATTAGATATAAATGAGATATCTGAAAACACATAATTTTACAATTATAGGGCTTAAATATAGTACAGGTCAATATTCTATCATGAACAAAAAGAGCATTAGAATGTGAAATTCTGGGGGGCTAAATCACTACTCTAAATTCTAGAAGGTTATGATAAACTTTGAAGTCTTTCTAATTTCACTTAAAGAAAGTTTCTGTTTTCTATCTTATCTCTTTGAATCACATATAAAATGATTTTCCATCAAGTAAAATGAATTTTAACCTGTGCCACTCTAATAGGAAGGACAGCTAATTTCTTGACTACATTGGAGTGAAAATAACTGAACTATTTTGAAAGGTTTCTACTCTTACAAAGGCTTGTCCCACCACTTGTGATTCTTAGGTCATTAAAGAGATCCACTTGGTCTTGTTGGCTTTGAGTTTTATGATCAGCAACATGGGTGCCCAGGAAAGCCTTGGAAAAGCCTCAGAAGGTCAGAAATACTTTGAAGTTTTGTATCAAATTTCATGATTATTTTTCTGGGGAGGAAATATTGTTTTTATCATAGGTTTGAAAGAGGAATATAAATTTTCAAATATTAATCCCACACCTAAGCAGAGATGGCTGTTGTTTATTTCCTACACCCTTCCTATTTGTATGGTGTTGTTAGTTTCCACGTCATCAAAACTTGGGGGGGAATTTCTTTCCAGACTTCAAAAAAGGAAAAAAAAAACTTAACCATCTTTGCTTATTCTTGAAATCATTAACTCTTCTAACTACACCATTATATAGGACATTTAATTTGCAGAACAAGAAAATATAAGTGCGTAGTTAGTAAAAACTGAGATTTTTGTGATAGTGAATTCTATAATAAATTAGGGATCAGACTTTGTCAGAACTGCTTTGACTCATTTGTTAGACTAGTAACAGGCTCCTTCCTCTCACAGTCACAGGCCTTCCTTCCTCTCACAGTCACAGCCCTTCCTTCCTCTCACAGTCACAGCCCTTCCTTCCTCTCACAGTCACAGGCCTTCCTTCCTCTCACAGTCACAGCCCTTCCTTCCTCTCACAGTCACAGCCCTTCCTTCCTCTCACAGTCACAGCCCTTCCTTCCTCTCACAGTCACAGCCCTTCCTTCCTCTCACAGTCACAGCCCTTCCTTCCTCTCACAGTCACAGCCCTTCCTTCCTCTCACAGTCACAGGCCTTCCTTCCTCTCACAGTCACAGCCCTTCCTTCCTCTCACAGTCACAGCCCTTCCTTCCTCTCACAGTCACAGGCCTTCCTTCCTCTCACAGTCACAGGCCTTCCTTCCTCTCACAGTCACAGCCCTTCCTTCCTCTAACAGTCACAGGCCTTCCTTCCTCTAACAGTCACAGGCCTTCCTTCCTCTCACAGTCACAGGCCTTCCTTCCTCTCACAGTCACAGGCCTTCCTTCCTCTCACAGTCACAGGCCTTCCTTCCTCTCACAGTCACAGGCCCTTCCTTCCTCTCACAGTCACAGGCCTTCCTCCCTCTCACAGTCACAGGCCTTCCTTCCTCTCACAGTCACAGGCCTTCCTTCCTCTCACAGTCACAGCCCTTCCTTCCTCTCACAGTCACAGCCCTTTCTTCCTCTAACAGTCACAGGCCTTCCTTCCTCTCACAGTCACAGCCCTTCCTTCCTCTTACAGTCACAGGCCTTCCTTCCTCTCACAGTCACAGCCCTTCCTTCCTCTCACAGTCACAGGCCTTCCTTCCTCTCACAGTCACAGCCCTTCCTTCCTCTCACAGTCACAGCCCTTCCTTCCTCTCACAGTCACAGCCCTTCCTTCCTCTAACAGTCACAGGCCTTCCTTCCTCTCACAGTCACAGGCCTTCCTTCCTCTAACAGTCACAGCCCTTCCTTCCTCTCACAGTCACAGGCCCTTCCTCTCACAGTCACAGCCCTTCCTTCCTCTAACAGTCACAGCCCTTCC